TCTTGAATGCTAAGCATGTACCACGCTCCATTTGACCAGCATGTACCTTTTCTTTTCACTGTCTCCTTGCCAAAAAAGTCTAGATCTAAAACAATCCACCCTTTGCAAGACCTCTTTTGGGGATTTAAAAAAACATATAGAGAACCATATTTGTGAGAATAAAATTGATCAAGACTAGCCGGCCTCCAAGAAGGAGCAACTTTCCTTTCCAACTGCTCAATCGTTTCTCTAAGCGCTCTTCTACATGTTTTCATTCTGCATTTGTGAGATGCAGATAATGAATCGGTATTCCTAAATATTTAATTGGGAATTGCCCTTCCGCACGCCCAAACAGGTCAGCGTAATCGGCTGCCGCCTCACTGGCTTCTCCAAAGTAGTAGAGTTCACTTTTATGAAAGTTAATTTTAAGGCCTGACATTTGCTCAAATGCTGAAAGCAATAGTTTCAGGTTTTGAGCCTTGTCCAGGTCATGTTCCATCCACAAGGTGTGGCACTACTGCAATCTGATCGTCCTACTTGACATGATCAATTAGAATAGCCAACGTGTCAGCAACAATGTTAGATAACATTGGAGACATGGGGTCACCATGGCGTTGTCCTTTTTTTGTCTGAAAGTAATGGCCTACATCATCATTGACCTTGATGGCTAGACTACCTCAACTAACAAAATTTTGGATCCACTCGCACCATTTATCGAAGAATCCTTTCATTCTCCGGGCCAGTTCAAGGAATGACCATTTGACCTTGTCATAAGCCTTTTCAAAGTCAAAATTTTAAACTACCCCACTCATGTCTTTTCGATGCATCTCGTGAACGGTCTCATGTAGAATTACTACTCCCTCGAGTATATTTCTTTCTTGCATGAATATTGTTTGATATGGCCATACGACATGATCACCAACCGTGTTGAACCTATTAGTAGCCACTTTATTGAAAATCTTGAAGCTGACATTAAGGAGACATATGGGTCTATATTGCTGAATCCGCTCAGCCTCCTTAATTTTCGGCAACAAAACAATCTCATCCAAATTAAGCCTGAATAGTTCAAGTTGGCCGGCATAAGGACAATTGAACAACTCCAAAAGGTCGGTCTTGATGACATCCCAGAAATTCTGATAGAATTCTACGGGGAAGCCATCAGGACCAAGAGTTTTGCTATGTTCCATTTGGAATACTACAACGCTTACCTCCTCTTCAGAGAAAGGTGTCGTGAGGATATCGTTCTCTTCTGCCGTGACCTGTGAAATATCATCTTTTCGGGTCTCGTCGAGGATGAAATTCCCTTCATCCGGCGCTCCGAAAAGAGATTTGTAGTATTTAGTGATATAACTTTTGAGCTCTGCCTGACCTCCGATCCTCCCCTCATCTTGTTGGAGACTAAAAATACACTTCTTCCAATGCCGGCCGTTGGCGACCTACTGGAAATATGGTGTATTATTGTCTCCCTTCAAGATGAAATCGGCTTTGGATCTTTGGTAATATTTGATTTCCTCTTCACGCAGAAGACGTGCAATCTTCTTATTGGATTGATTTTTCAATTCAATCTCTTGTTGAGACAAGATGCGAGTTTCTGCGATTTTATCGAGGTCGTCAATAATAGTTGAGAGGCGTTGCTTTTCTTTTTTGTACGACCCATTGGTGTGTTTCGTCCATCCAGAGATGTACTGCCTTATGACCCTTATTTTAAAGTTCCATCTCTGAATAGGTGTATGATCAACGGCAGGCCTCTCCCATACTTTCTTAATTTTGTCTGCAAAGCCTTCTCGGTGCAGCCATCCCAATTCAAACTTGAAAGGGTGGCCAGCAGATGGGCTTGTAGATTTAGAACCAAGAATGATGGTGCATGATCCGGTAGTGCCTCGATACGCTCTAGGGTCCGCACGGTTACCATAGAAAATTTTAACTCCCATTCGGTATTCATGAGTATCCTATCGAGCGTCTCGTATGTCGGCACGAAACGACTATTGGCCCAGATGAATTGTCGGTATAAAAACATCTAACATTTTACTCTCCCGTTCCAAAATAAGTGTCCGAACTTTGTACTGAAGTTAGTACAGAGTTGTACTAAAGTTAAGACACTTATTTTAAGACAGACGAAGTATTACACAGGGAATAGCTACCGGATATGTGCTACTACTCTATTGCATGTCCGATGTCGGAGGGCTAATCGCAGCATATTTGGCCATATAGAAAACCTTGGCATTTAGCTTGCCAAATGTCCGCTCTAGCTTCATCGGGAGTTAAAATATCCAAGCGATAGACTGTGTTCGTGCGACACACATACCCGAAAGGTGAGATCCAGAAGCATCCGTAGCATGAGTGCTCGTAGCACACTTCCAGAAGGATGGTCCAAGATGGGTTCCAGAATCTAGAAAGGAAACCACACCAAACGATGGAATCATTAGCTTGCAAAACCATGCCTTGCCTGAGTTGTCAATGACCGTTGCTATCTGGCGCTGCCTGCAGTCAGCAAGAGCTGGCTAGACGACGTGGAGTGTCAATAATACTAGGGCCACTCAACAAATTACTAACCGGAGTACTATACTATGCCACCCTGTGTTGCGGGGTACGGGTGGATTTAACTAGATTGTGATGCTGTTTTATGTACAGTTTTTTTTAAGCATCAGTACAGACACAAGCGCTCATATACATGCGCATACACTCATCCCTATGAACGCGCACACGCACACCCCACCCCTATGAGCACCTCCGAGAAACTGAGCCGGCATATCATCTTGAGATTTACGAAGTCACCGTAGGCGCCTCGTCGTCGACGGGAACGTCTCCTTCCACTGAAAGCGCATCGCCGAAAATCCTGAAATAAATCCAGGAATAATGCGAGCACCAGGATTTGAACCCTGGTGGGTTGGGGATACCACTGTCCACCTAACCAACTCAACCACAGGGTGAGTCGCCTGTTTTATGTACAGCTGGATAGTTTAATTCTCATGTATCGCGAAGGACAACAAAAATGAGAGAAAATCACACAAAAAAAAGGTGAGCGAAGGACAACACGGTTGGTGCACTCTATTAGAACCAAATAGCTCTCCTGCTAAAAAAAATATCAAATAGCTCTAAAGAATTCACTAAACTATATACAACAAAGAATCAACAAACTTCATGAAACTAACTACGGGAAATATGACATGTATAACATGTATTACAATGCATTTCTTTTTGCAAAATTAAATATAAATATAGCACTGTCAACAAACTTCATGAAACTAACGACTGAACATATGACATGTATACATGTTATACACCAGTTGTATTACAATGCATTTATTTTTGCAAAATTAAATCTAAGTATAGCACTGTCACAAATTCTGAATAAATGTAGTTATGTAAAACGATTAATAGTTTAAGAAAAAAATATCTAGATCGTGAAATTTAATAAAACCTATTCATCACAAATCACCAGACAGATTTGAACTACCAACGCCATTACATTATGTTGGTGATAATAGTTGCATAAGTACCCACAATGGTAATAAACATTTGCGTTGAAAAATGCCAATGATAATAATGGAGTTTATAAACGATCACTTCTCTTGAAGTAACTAGAAAAGCGCTTACTCTCTCCGTTTTTCATGGTACGCGCATAACTTTTGCTCCTTTTCCCATGTTAGCCAGTGCACTAGCATTTCCCCTCCCCAAACCATCCGATTTATGCTCCTGATTATCAGATTACAGTGCAATGATGAATTAACAACTCCATCTATCATGTGTGCATGTACCTCTCTTTTCAACTTGCCTTCTTGGTATCTTCTCGACCCGCTCGTCCCCAAATCAACCCCCCCCCCCTCCCCCCAATCCCCCGCTTGTCCCCATGGAAGATGACGACCACATGTGCTTGCGAGAAAGAACTAGTCAATTGAAGAAGATGAAGTAAGCTAAGAAGACGAAACCCAAAGTGCAGGCAGAGATGACCACGGCGGCAACCATGGCCAAGAGCTCGGGGTCGACATCGTCGGTCACACACGGAGGAAGGGGACGGCTCCGTACGGACCCTTGTGGTGGACATCTGCCGGGGGGGAGTACTATTTGGTGCACATACAAGAGCATTCATGGGAATATTGTCCCATACCAACACATCTCACACGCGGGTACAAGACATTTACTAGGAAAAGGGACGTGAAGCAATTCCATGAGCAACAAGCCAGTCCGTAGCGGCGCATGAAGCAGCCACGGCGCGTCCAGCTCCGCACTGGCGTGCGTGCCCCTAGCAAAGCCAAGGGAAAGCCGAGGCCGAAACAGCACAGCTCATTCCGCCGGTCCCACGGGCCCCGCCAGCTTCGATGCCCACGAGACCTTTCCGCACCAATCCCCGCCCGCCTAGTTTTAACACCCCCGAGAAATTCCAGCCACCTCCACCGCTGTCGCTGCAGCGCGTCCCCCACCCCCCGCCGTACGCGCGAGACCCGGGGGCCCGGCCCGGCTCCCCACGCCGCCATCTGGGCCCGGCGGTCCTCGCCGCCAGCTTGCTTTGCACCTACCCCTCCGGCGCAAAGGCCACCGACACGTGGGCCCCCGCCCATCACACCGCAATCAGTCAAGCGCACACGCCTCCCTCCCTCCCTCCTTCCGCTCCCCTGCCCGCACTGACTCCGCGCACCAGAATAATCCCACCACACGACCGCGACCGCGACCGCCTCCTCGCCGGCGACGGGCAGCCGCTGGCCGGAGTCGGAGGGTTTTGCTCGTTGCGTGGGAGGCGCGGCCGAATTCCTCTGACCGGGTCTCCTCGACGCCTTCTCTCGCGTTGCCGTGTGCCACCGAGTAGATTTTAAAAGGGAAGGCCCCTTTCTTTTCTTGTGCGGTAGTATCGGTCTCTGGGAGGTTAATCTAATCGGAGGCGGCTGCTTCGGGAGGAGACCTTGTCGCCGCCGCCGCCGACGCTCGCCGTTCCCCCTCGCCGAGCTAAGCTGCTGTTATGAGCTCACCCCAATCCTAGGGCTCTGCACGGCGTCGTCGGCTTCTCTAGCGGTTCCGCGGAGGAGATGGTGCCCAGCGGGCTCTTCGGCTGGGCTTCGCCGCACGTGCAGCCGCTCACGCCGGTGTCCGAGGTCTCGGAGCCGCCGGAGTCCCCGTCGCCGTACGGGGACGGGCCGTCGGGGGATGCTGGCGTCGGGGTCAGGGAGGGGGAAGGCGCCGACGACGAGGATGTGGAGGAGGACGAGGTCGAGCCCCCTCCCGCCGCGGTCTCCTTCTGGAGGCTGTTCGAGTTCGCCGACGGCCTCGACTGGGCGCTCATGGCCGCTGGCGCGCTCGCTGCCGCCGCCCACGGCGCCGCACTCGTCGTCTACCTGCACTACTTTGGGAGGTCCTTGAATTTGCTCGACTCTGAACGGATTCAGTCTGCTCTCCACGGCCGTAGCGACGAGCTGCTCAACCAATTCAAGCAGGTAAGCTGATGCTTCGGATGCTCGTCTCTTAATTGCACGCATGACAGGATCTGCTACCTGATATTTATTGCTGGAGCCAAATTTGTTATTCTTTAATTTTGCTATTATTGGGGCTGGGAAGTTTTTTTTTTGTACTTTTTGCGCTTGCTATACTTATGGGGGCTGGTATACTCTACATTTCTTACTTATTTGTGTGCTATTCTCAGTACATGTAAACCCTAAACCAGCTCATACTTAATTTTGCCGTGTGCTGTTAGGTCACTTACACAATATTGATAACCAGCTCTTGGAAGATTTACCAGCTGAAAATTGTTCGTCACACTGCAAAATTTTGTGCGTAGCAGTTATATTTATGACTCAGGTTACATATCATCTAGAATCAGTGCATTTGGAACTTTTGGATGCAAATTTTGCCATGAAATTATGCATATTCTAAGTCGGCGGTTTGCTTGATGATGTGATATGTCTCCTTGGCTTTTAGTTGTGGCCTTGTGGGTGATTGGCTGATTGCGTCTGGAGGGCAGGTTCGGGTTTTGTGCACTTATGCGCTTTTCTGACCAAAGCGCACATTAAGCGCTAGGCGTTTTGCGATTGCCCAGCGCCCAGCGCCTAGCGCCTGGCTTTTTTTTTGGTCATGCAGGTATGTGTTGCGGTGTATTCTGGAATTTGGGTGTTGCAATATCTTAGGCAGGGTTGATTTATTGTGCTGTTTGTCTAGCAGACTTAGAGGATTGCAGCATGGCAGGGCCTGAGGTTGCCTATTGGATTGAGTTGTACTCCCTCCGTTCCAAATTACTCGTCGGAGAAATGGATGTATCTAGAACTAAAATACATCTAGATACATCCATACCTGTGACAAGTAATTCGGAACGGAGGGAGTATTGTTTTAGCTTTGCTGACAAGCTCGGGATATACAAAACTGAACACATTGTGGCTGGTCCTGTTAGGTCTCATATTGGTGAATTGGTGCTTGTACATAGTGCAAATGGAATGCCATTAGTTTAGTTCTGTATACTTCAAGTTGTGCGTATGGTGAAGATTTATCACATTTGTACCAAATTTGTCTTTCCTTGATCGGGCAGGATGCCCACAAAAAGCGGCTTTTTTTGCTCTTTTAATTGGTGACTGATGAAAATAGTGGGAGCATGTGAAGAAGTGTTGATCATAACCATAGAAGAAGATGACATGAAGTTTCTTCCTGCTGGCCACTGGGGATCCCTATGTGAGAAGCAAGTGAGCAGGGTGAGGTGGTAGCTTGTAGTCTCACCTCAATATCTGTATTGGAGTCAGTTTTGTTGAGTTTCACTGTTGGCCTATGCCCTTTTAGCTAGTTCAACGTGTTTTCATTAGTCCTTTAAACAAGTGAGCCAGTCGTGGTGGGTCTTGTTAGGCTTTAAGCAGTAGTCCTGTTTGAAAGATTAAGCAGTGGTCCTGTTTGAAAGATAGTTATCATTGTGAAATAAGTTTTTCCAGTGAGTCTAGTTTCTTGAAGTCCAGGCAGTCAACCGAGAAAGGAGGTTATGATGTGGAAGTCTTCTTGTCTGTGTTCCCCTTCAAGGTCTCGGCTACACTAGAGGAGAGGTGCCGAAAGTAAAAGTTTGAAAAAGACGACTAAACTAGTTAGCTTAAGATTTATTCATTATTAAATTTCCAACCTCAGCGAATGGCTCGAGTTGAGAAGAGAAGGATCGATTCTTTTCCAATAAATGAACTCAATTTCCAAAATTCAATTAATTAATTACTCCCTCCGTCCTGAATTACTTGTTGCAGAAATGGATAAAAATGGATGTATCTAGAACTAATATATGTCTAGATACATCCATTTCTGCGACAAGTAATTCCGGACGGAGGGAGTACTATACTAGATTAGCAATATATTCTTTCTGTACCTAAAACAATCAACTAGTCCCTCCGTTCGGAATTACTTGTCTCGGAAATGGATGTATCTAGAACTAAAATACATCTAGATACATCCATTTTTGCGACAAGTAATTCCGAACGGAGGGAGTATTAACTAAATAATCTATTTTAATCTAAAGGAGTGCAAGTATATGCACATGTTTTAGCACTTCTATTCAATGCATTCTACTGCCCAATCCATATACCTTTTTTTCTTACAATCTTCACATCTTATGCTGTTTCATTTGCAGCATGCTCTGTATATCATCTACATAGCTGCTGGTGTTTTTGTTGCAGGATGGATAGGTAAGTTAAGAGCCTTCGTTTAAATATTTTCTCGCTCAGCATGTGTATGTACCTAATGTAATTTTTGATTCTCCAGAGGTATCATGCTGGATTCTCACCGGGGAACGGCAAACTGCTGTCATCAGATCAAAATATGTCCAGGTCTTGCTAAATCAAGACATGAGCTTCTTTGATACATATGGAAACAATGGTGATATAGTTAGTCAAGTTCTGAGTGACGTATTGCTGATTCAGTCCGCAATTAGTGAGAAAGTAAGTTCAGAGTGAATATGCTTTGACTGCTGTATGAGTATGTTTGCAGCATGAACTTTGATCGTTTTGGTCTGTTCTAACAACTCAGTGCTTTTGTAGGTAGGCAACTACATACACAATATGGCCACATTCGTCGGCGGTCTCATTGTTGGCCTGCTCAATTGTTGGCAAATAGCACTCCTAACTCTTGCCACTGGACCCTTGATTGTAGCTGCAGGCGGAATATCTAACATATTTCTCCATAGACTGGCTGAGAACATTCAAGATGCATATGCCGAAGCGGCTAGTATTGCTGAACAGGTTTCACCCTGTGAACTTCGCCATGCTGTCCATTTCTTGCGCATTTGTTTACAAATATCCACCTTTTAACATTGAGAACACTATTTCCCAGATCAGATATTTCTCCACTCTTTGTATTGTGCATTGCACTATATTCTTTTAGCATGTACAAATAATATGCCAAATATAATCGGTTCCGATTTTACTTGACAAAAACATGTGGATGTGCAGGCCACCTCATACATCAGGACGCTATATGCTTTTACCAATGAAACTCTTGCAAAGTACTCCTATGCTACCTCACTTCAAGCAACTCTAAGATATGGAATTTTGATAAGTCTAGTCCAAGGAATTGGCCTTGGATTTACCTATGGACTGGCCATCTGTTCCTGTGCTTTGCAACTCTGGGTTGGAAGACACCTAATTTCTCGTGGGAAAGCTGATGGTGGTCAAGTTGTGGTAGCTTTATTTGCAGTAATTTTGAGTGGCCTGTAAGCAACATAATCCTATACATTCCCCTGTTTCCCTCCATCAAGAGTGTCTTTACCTAATATATTTTCCTGTTTTTTAGTGGTCTGAACCAAGCAGCTACAAACTTCTATTCATTTGAGCAAGGGCGAATTGCTGCTTATAGACTATATGAGATGATAAGTCGTTCAACTTCAAGCACCAATCTGGAAGGGACCACTATACCCCAAGTGCAGGGGAACATCGAATTCAGAAACGTGTATTTCAGTTATCTCTCACGTCCTGAAATTCCAATTTTAAGTGGTTTCTTTCTCAGTGTACCAGCCAGAAAAACTGTTGCACTTGTTGGTAGAAATGGCTCAGGGAAAAGCAGCATAATTCCTCTAATGGAGAGGTTCTACGATCCAACGTTAGGTAACATCATTGAGAAGCATCTGATTTTCATCTCCAAGTTTCTCACCTCCTAGGAGGCTTGTTCTCTCTTTCTTTTCAATGAAATCACGAAGGTCCTTAGCGTTTTCTTGAAAAAAAAAGTTTCCCCATTTGCTAAGACAGCTCTTTTTACGTTTTCAGGGGAAGTCCTGCTGGATGGGGAAAATATCAAGAATTTGAAAGTAGAATGGTTAAGAAGCCAAATTGGTCTGGTTACACAAGAACCTGCACTGCTGAGTTTGAGCATCCGCGAAAACATTGCTTATGGAAGATTTGCTACCTTTGATCAGATAGAAGAAGCAGCCAAGACAGCACATGCTCATGGGTTCATCAGTTCACTCGAAAAGGGATATGAAACACAGGTAATGGTAGTGCCAAATAATTAGGCATGGATGCTCCAGTCCATTTTGTTATCATTCTGATTTTATTTACCTCCCTAGGTTGGTCGAGCTGGTTTGGCGTTGACTGATGAACAGAAGATCAAAATTTCTATCGCTCGTGCTGTGCTTTCGAGTCCATCAATTCTCTTACTTGACGAAGTCACGGGAGGACTTGATTTTGAAGCTGAAAAGGCTGTGCAAGGAGCATTAGATGTTCTCATGCTGGGAAGGTCGACCATTATAATAGCTAGGCGCCTTAGCCTCATTAAACATGCTGATTACATAGCTGTAATGGAGGAGGGACATCTTGTTGAAATGGGGACACATGATGAATTGCTAAACTTGGATGGCCTTTATGCTGAGCTTTTGAGATGTGAGGAAGCAACAAAACTTCCTAAGAGGTAAGCTGTTTTTTCTGGACAATTCCTGGTAAGACTGAGTTTGCATTAGTTTAGATTTAGTATCACATTGTTTTTCAGTCTAGACTAACCAAGGGTTCTGTGTCTGGGACCTAGCTGGCACAATTATAAGAAATAAAACTCTGTCCAGTCCTGGATAATTTGATACTAAACGCTCTTATATTTCTTTACAGAGGGAGTACTTGTTTATTTGCTAATTTCCAAAATACGCCTTAATGCTGTGAGCATCCAGCTACTGTGCTGAAGAAATAGCGATTAACCTGGTTGTTCTTACGTTGTTCCAGCTGTGCTAGATTTGCACTATTATTTTACCAGAGCTACTCTATTTACTTTGTCAATCTTTCTCAGGATGCCAACCAAGAATAGTAGGGAGCGCAAGTCACTCCAATTTGAGGATCCACCAATCAGCCAAAATTTTCAAGAATCATCCTCTCCTAAGATGGCAAAATCACCTTCTCTTCAAAGAACACATGGCATGCTTCAGTTTTGGCGATCAGACACCACCAGAAATTCCCATGATTCACCAAAGGATCGAAGCCCACCTCCAGAACAAACTACAGATAATGGAATACCTTTAGTTGCAACTGAAAGAGCACCGTCCATCAAGAGACATGACAGTTTTGAAATGGAATTGCCCAACCTTCCGAAGGTTGACATCCATCCCATACAACGGCAATCTTCAAAGAATGCAGGACCTGACTCGCCTATATCTCCTCTTTTGACTTCTGATCCAAAAAATGAGCGTTCACATTCACAAACTTTTAGTAGACCACAGAGTGAACGTGATGATACAAGTTCCGAACAGAGTGAACCTGATGAATTGCAACATCACAAGCCACCATCATTTTGGAGACTGGCAGCACTTAGCATTGCTGAATGGCCTTATGCTCTCTTAGGCACAATTGGTGCTGCTATATTTGGCTCATTCAATCCACTGCTTGCTTACACAATAGCACTTACAGTGTCGGCATATTATCAAATAGAAGTTAGTGACATGCACCATGAAGTGAACAGGTGGTGTTTATTCATAGTAGGAATGGGTGTTATTACAGTGCTGGTCAACTGGTTGCAACATTTCTATTTTGGAATTATGGGGGAGAAGATGACTGAACGTATAAGAAGAATGATGTTCTCCGGTATGCTATCTGTGCCTTTATACATATGAGCTGTTTTTTTTAGTCTGCTGCAATCGTGAAGTTAGATTTGATCTTCTAGAATTCCACACTAATTAGTTCTTTCACAGCAATGCTGCGCAATGAGGCTGGATGGTTTGACAAAGAGGAGAATAGTGCTGATACACTATCCATGCGCCTGGCAAACGATGCTACATTTGTCCGTGCTGCATTCAGTAACCGTCTTTCCATATTCATACAAGACACTGCTGCGGTTTCTGTAGCTCTTCTCATTGGAATGTTGTTGGGATGGCGTGTGGCGCTTGTTGCACTTGCAACTTTACCTGTTCTTGTTATCTCTGCCATTGCACAGGTAATACAGCCTGAAGGTTTTTTGGTCTGTTATATTATCACCTCAAAAGTCTGAAACGGAGTAGCATATTTTGGCATGTTAACAGAAGTTGTGGTGTCTGTTGGCGAGACCATTGAGCATTTTTGTGTATACCGAGAGTTCGGACCGAAAACCCTTAAATATATCACACAGGGCCTTTTCGGAAACAAAATACTGGGGTTGATTCAAGTGTTGCCTAGGTTATTTTTATATTACCTTGTGGATGTTAAAACATAAAAAGGGACCCATACAAGTCAAGTCTAAGAAAGCAAACTCACATGGTTTGGAAATTGTCACTTGAACATGTGGCTCTAGTATATACCACCTTGCAAATATGATCTTTATTATCTGTTAAGGGTCAGTGACATTTCAAACTTCAGAAATATTTTTGATCGTGTTACAAATGGCCTCTCCTGTCAATAATCAACACGATCTGCACTCTCTTTCTATAGCCACATATTTGGTATTCCCTAATAATACAGTGTCCGTATAATTATTTAATTGCCTGATCTGTTAAACACTGAAATTTGCAACACTAATCTTGAACTGCATGCATATCTTTCACAATTTGGCATTCAGTAACTTGATACTGTGTATTTTATGTTAGAACTGGTGCAAATAGGCATGTTCTAAATTGATATGATAAACCATTTTACAGAAATTATGGCTTGCTGGCTTCTCAAAAGGAATCCAGGAGATGCATAGAAAGGCTTCATTAGTACTTGAGGATGCAGTCCGTAACATTTACACCGTTGTTGCTTTTTGTGCTGGAGACAAGATAATGGAACTCTACAAATTACACCTTGGTAAGATACTGAAGCAAAGTCTTGTGCATGGGTTGGCTATAGGCTTCGGTTTTGGTTTCTCGCAGTTTCTTCTTTTTGCCTGCAACGCCCTCCTTCTGTGGTACATTGCCACCTCAGTGGACAAGCAGCGCCTGACAATAGCCACGGGGCTAAAACAGTACATTCTATTCTCGTTTGCATCATTTGCATTGGTGGAGCCCTTTGGACTTGCCCCATACATACTTAAGCGGCGGAAGTCTCTCACTTCAGTGTTTGAAATTATTGACCGAGAGCCAAAGATTGATCCTGATGACAACACTGGCCTGAAACCACCCAATGTCTATGGGAGCATTGAATTCAAGAATGTTGATTTCTCCTATCCAGTTCGTCCAGAAATCTTTGTGCTGAGCAATTTCAATCTTAAGGTAAGCGGTGGGCAAACAGTTGCAGTGGTAGGTGTTTCAGGATCCGGGAAGAGCACTATCATTTCGTTAATTGAGAGATTTTATGACCCAATGTCTGGCCAAGTTCTGCTGGATGGCCGAGATCTGAAATCGTTCAACCTGAGATGGTTACGAAGCCACATGGGCCTAATTCAACAAGAACCCGTCATTTTCTCGACAACAATAAGGGAGAACATTATCTATGCAAGGCACAACGCAACGGAGGCTGAGATGAAGGAAGCTGCAAGGATAGCAAATGCTCATCATTTCATTAGTAGCTTGCCACATGGCTATGACACTCATGTGGGAATGCGAGGGGTTGATCTGACACCTGGGCAGAAGCAACGTATTGCCATTGCTAGAGTGGTTTTGAAGAATGCGCCGATATTGTTGTTGGACGAGGCCAGCTCTGCGATCGAGTCTGAATCAAGTAGAGTGGTACAGGAAGCTCTTGACACATTGGTCATGGGGAACAAGACAACGGTCCTGATAGCGCACAGGGCAGCGATGATGAAGCATGTGGATAACATTGTTGTCCTAAATGGTGGTAGGATAGTTGAGCAGGGCACACATGACTCTCTGATGGACCTGAACGGTCTCTATGTTAGATTGATGCAGCCCCATTTTGGCAAGGGCCTTCGCCAGCATCGGCTAGGCTAATGTAATTAATGTTGGGTTTGTTAGGTGTAAATTATGTTAGGGCATGACCAAGTTCCCCTGTCGCTCTCTGTCCAGACGCGTAGCTCCACGGTTGGGGCTGCTGGCGATGTTCCGAATGCGCAGAAGGGTGGCCTGGTCTTGACAAAATTTTCGACTGGAGATTGAGATGACTAGTTGTGTTGAATCTGTAGGGAGCTTTTATCCTGGAAATAGGTAGCAAGTTTGGTGGGAGGGCATTGTAATTGTTTGTAATATATGAGTTGCAAACATTCTTTTGGAGGCTCTGCGCACTCGATTCATTTCGCCTTTGTAATGCGCCGATTTGATGATTCAGGTGTGTGTAAAGAAAAGTCTTCTTAATAGGTTGAATTCCTGGTGATTTGATTACGCCTGTTTAGCGATGATCGTGTGGATTGTCGTTTGTTCATTCAACAGTCTGTGTGTCGATTACCCCCTGTGGAAACCAGGGCAGCCCTGACGAACTGTGCTAGGAATCATACTCCCTCTGGTTCCTCAATATGGTTTTAAAGAAGTACATTTTGACCACTAATTCATGTGTACTGGTTCCACTAGATTCGTACAAGCATGAGTAGCGCGATGTCTGAGCAATGCAGATTCGTTGGGTTGGGTTCCTCTCGGCCTCAGGCGACACCAGGTTTCGCCCGCGTTGCAACGGTCGGATGGTGCCGACGGACATCAAGAGCTTGCGCAATCAGGCGTTCAAGTCGTAGATCTTGAAGGAGTCGGCGACGACTTTGAGCCTGTTGCGCAGCCTGCTCCACCGGCGCTCGTTAGCCGTCACGATCAGCGTGTAGTACCTCCCTGCCAAAAACCAACACCAACTCAGCTTCGTGTCCACAGGAGGGGGAAACACATGACCAGAATCCCCATGAAACGTGTACCGTTCCCGATGGCGACCGTCGCAAACGCCGACACGCCGTAGCCCGGCGCCTCCAGATCGTACTCAAACGTCCAGTAGTTCCTGCCATCCACCGTACGCTGCCAATTTACAGCACAACAAAGTAACCGCTCATCTTTCCGATCTTTGCAGCGTAGCAGATCGGGAATTCTATGGCTGGTCGATGAGATTCGACAACTTAAAAATTGCAACGCAAGCAGTGGATGAAACGGCAAACCTCTTGCATTTCATAGATCGTTGGTATCTGGTTCGGAGCAGCGTACACTTCGGTTACCAAATTGAAGATCGCCTGAGGGAAGATGAAGCAGTGGTCAGAAGAAAGGGAAGACGAGATCTGGTCCAAAGTCCAGAAAATCCAGGCGGAAGGCTACCTACCTCATCCATTGGGCCTAGGTCACGAATGTCTGTTTTCTGAGTAGGAATGAAGGCCACACGGACAGACTGCAGCTGCACATTACGGTCCTTGAACGCTGAATCATGGCCCAAGAAGTCGAAATCCTGACATGAAGTACGCGGGGAAACAAAAGCGTTATGTGAATGAAATCCACAAGAGCCAATGACTCGAGAAAAAATAATTATTTGGCATCTGAATTGTCCTTCTTGCACACTAATTTACTACTCACATATTGGATGTAATAAGATCTTATATATGAGACGGAGGGAGTACTAGTAAACATGACAAATTACCCTCCAATCAGCTGGGTAGAGGTACGAATATCCGTCGTTTGCATCGACGTAAGAGCGGTAATTCTTTGGTACTTCTGAAATCTAGGAACAACTCCAGTTAGCATTAGCTCACACAATCCTACTGTACATGGGGATGCTAATATTTAACAAGCTGATAACTTGCATAGTTGCATATCGCCTGCCATGGAGGTGAAACTGAACAATTAACAATGGGCATACCTTCAGCATCTGCAGAGCTGCTGTTTAACAGGACAGTGGATAATGCCCCAGCACCAAGCAGTGCCAATCTCCTTTTTGTGACCTCTATAGTAAGGTCAGGAAGGGAGATTCTATCAACAATTTTTCCTGTGCCAACCTTTAAAAACACATTGAGATGAACAGCACACGAGAATTACTCTTCTCATCCGAGGATGCTTCGCTCGAGCTCGCGTTCACCACCGAAGGGGGAGCCCCGTTCAGCCTGGCAGTGGCCGTGCAGTTCGGCGCAATCAACTGAAGACAACACCGGGTTCTGAGTCCAGGAACGAAATCAAGAGAAGGATGATAACAGGGTTCATTAAAGCACATACGTACCTGTTTGGATATCAAGCTCTGCAGGCTTGCCATTTCACCTTGAGTGGAGCTCTGATCCTAGCCTGCCCCAGGTTGGTTGGCTATCTGTTGCTGCTGGAGCTGGACTGTGGTCCGTAAGCTTCTCCATGTGTTGCGTGCGTGGGTGGAAGCCAAGGCTGCCAGGTCAGCGTTTCCATTATCCTTTTCAAAACCTTTTGTTTCTTTGTTTTGTGCTGGCCATCGGCTGACAAAAGGGGACCATTCATTCCCTTCTGATGGATAGTACTAGAAAAACAGCAAAATCGTCTTATATTTTGGGACGGAGGTTGTAGTTCATAACTTGGTCGGTTTTGGTTTGTTTCCTGTGGTGATTTTGTCGAGATATGTCTGACCTAACGCATTCTCCATTTCCTGTGGTTTAACTACATAGATGGAGACATAATCTGTAGAGATGCAAAAGTCATCTCACCACAGAATTTGCAGAAATGGAAAAGCCATCTCACTGCAAAGGGATATGCTACAGACTTATAGTACTGCTTACCACTAGGGACTCTTTGGATTGCAGATTTTTTTTATCCTTCCAGAAGTTCCAAAGAGGCCCTAAGTTCTGAATGTGGACAAAGCATGATGGTACAAGGAAAACGAATATTTGCTCTTACAGCAAGGTTTGCTCATGCAGAATCTCCAGTGTGACAACATATAAAACTAGTAAGACAGTCAAGCGCCAAAGAAATCCTTAGATACTGCATCAGAGCAAAACCACAAGCACGATATCACTTGGATGAAAAACCTGAGTATCGTTTGTTCCAGATCATACTTATCAAAAAGATATCAAAACATTTAAAAATTCCAGGTTACATATATTCGTGCCACAACGATAACTGACAGCATTATACAACAACAGTTACATAATTGAAGGCTATGCCTTAGGAGCAGGCTTCACCAATCCTAGCCCAGAACCACTCCCTAAATGCTTGAAGTTCTTTGCCTCTAGGTGGTCATCGTGTGCGGCGAAACCCGTTCCTCCTTTTTCTAAATTAATCAAATTCCTCTCTTTGCACGGTTTGCTGCACATTAAGCAGACCTTATCTGTTGCTATGAACTTGTCCGAGCACTTCTTGCAGAAGACATGGCCACAGGTGCTGATCGCCACCAGGGACATTGTGTTTGTGAGATTGGACTTGCAGCTGGGGCAGATGTAGCTTTTCTCCACTGACTTACTGCTCTTCTGACGAGCGTTCTCCTCGGTGAAAGAAATAGGGAAGAGTGATTTCAGCTTGAGCTTCTCCTGCCCCTCGGGACAGATTGTGTCAGTAGAAGGAGCATCTACCTTGACAGTGGCTTCGGGTGTAGCTGACGGAAGCCAAAACGCCTTCATGGTGCGTAGGGCTTCCTCTTCAAAGGAGGTAGTCTTCACACTGTTGGCTCCATGAAAACCATTCTTGTCTTGGGAACCGCTGCGATCATAGTACTGGGGGACTGCTCCATGATTCTGCTGATCAAAAGCATCCAACTCCTTGGATTTTTGCAGCACCAGCTTCTCCTCCTCCTCTTCCTTCTCTTGCTTTTTCTGGGAATCATGAGCTATAAGCTTGCTGGAAGAAGGAAAAACACTCAGAAATCCATACCTTTTATTTGGTTGAACAAGCAAGCAGATAACTTAAGGGCAAGTATAGCAATTTCGAATGTCCACTAAGAACAGGAATATAGATTCAAACTACTTCAGTGATCAATTGCTGAAATGTTGATGACAAATGGCATGGGGAAGTATCAGTCTTATGGACACCGAAACTGTACTAATTTACTATATACTAGTAGAAATTCAATGATGAAGCAAGATCATTTTCTCTTGAAATTCAGGGATAACTACTATACTGTAGCTAGTACTAGCAACATAACACCACCGATCCAAACACTTCACCATGACAAATGCCCATCCCAGGATCGAATTTCAATTGCCGCCCCAAATTCTCATACATGGCGCGACCTCCAGTGCCACAAAACTAAAACACCGTGCTAAAAGAGTTCTCATAGTACCAAGGAAAATGGCAAGCTACGATAAGTCCAACAAGCCCTATCCATGAGGAACCCTACAATCCTAGGAGCAGGAATGCACATTTAAGCCCGCACCGCATCTGAGCACAATCATACCAATTCCACAATCCTCGCTAACAAATTGCAAATTCCCTGGAATTAACCAGTCCTTGGATGACCAAGCAAAGAAGGAATCAGGACCCAATAAAAAAAAAGGAACAACGAGCTGGTACCGCTTGATGTCCTTCTTCTGCGCGAGGAGGCACTCGAGGATGCACTCCTTGCAGAAGGTGTGGCCCTTGGGGCAGGCGAGCGGGTCGATGAGCGGCTTGAGGCAGAGGCAGCAGGCGTCGAAGGGCTTGATGGAGTCCTTGCCGAGCCGCTCCCGCTGGGTGCCGTACCCGAGCTTCCGCTTCTCCTCGTAGGTGAAGAAGGCGAGGTCGTTGTTGTTCTTCGAGTGCCGCTGCGGCATCTTCGCTGCGCTTCACCTTCGTCTGCCCCTTCCGGCCGGCGGGTGGGAGGCGCGGGCACGAGGAGGAAGGCGATGCGGCCCTGCTCTGGGGTGGGTTGCCGAAGTGTTAACCCTAGATTTGACGGGGAGGAGAAGTCGGCGAGGTGATGGTTTGATCGGGTGGAGTGGAGACGAAGGGCGGATCGGGCTGGGACTTGGGTAGTTGGGCTCGGTTCGGTTCCGTGTCTGGATCGGGCTGGGATTTGTGGGAGTCTCTCAGGGTTCTCTGACCGGCCCGTGTCATTTGACTTATGGGCCGGTGCGAGTTTCAGACTTTCCATTGCAAGCTCTTCCCCAAATATAAGGGATACTTTGGTTTTGTTTCCACCAACTTTTGCAATCGACCCTAAAAAAAACTTTTGCAATCAACAACGTGTTTGACCTGGAGTAGTAATTAAGAGGTACCCTGCAAAATCATTTCAACCTCCTCTTGTAGTGATAAGTACCACAACCACTTGTCGTAACTATTGTGTTTTGATAGGATTTCTTTCAACATGGAGGGGCGATGGGTGGTTTGTTTGTGCATTTTCCATATATTTGATTTTTGATTTATTATCTCTCGAACCATGTGTCAAATCACAAAAAAAATATCCATGTTGCTTTTCTCACGTCGAGGTCCTTGAAACTAGATCCTATTGATATGTTTTGACAAACTTTTTCTAGTCAAAATTTGTGCTCCGAAACTGTACTAACCCCGACTTCATGACTGTACTAACCTCGTGCTTCGAAATGGTACTAAACCATTCTTCATTAAAAAAAGACGGTTTGTGCTTTCGTGCGAGAAGCATAGTTGTGCTTCATATGGAATCATACCTACGATTCACGCATAAGAGAAGCACGGTTTATGCTTTCACACGAGAAGCATAGCTGTTCTTCGCAAAATCACATCGTGCTTTCACACGAGAAGCATAGTTGTGCCTCCTGCGGAATCATACCTACGATTCATGTGGAAGCACACTTGTCTGTCGCTTTTCGCAGAAGCACAATTATGTTTTCACGCACACGGAAGCACGCCCGTGCTTCACTTCTAGGGAAGCATAGAAGCACAATTGTGCTTTCACGCAGAAGCACAATTGTGCTTCACATGAAAACACATTTGTGCTTCACTTTTTGAGGAACAACTTCTACACTTTCACGCGGAAGCACAACTGTGCTTCATGCGATAACACATCAATCTGGAGAACCACATTTGTGCTTTCACACAAGAAGCACAATTGTGCTTCACATTAAAACACAACTGTGCTTCATGCGTAAGCACACCTGTGATCCATGCTCATAACAGAAAGAAATCAAAGAAACAAGGAAAAACCCCCAAAAAACAAAAATACCCCCCCAAACATCTCGATGGGGGAAGCGTCCAGTGTGACACATGGCACGCCGGGACACACCACATGGCGCGTTGGGGTGCTCCTGCACCAGGAAAGGCGCCCCGCGAGGGGGAACCCCTCCAATTAGTTGCTCTGAGTTCTTTTTTTTACACTTTAAACCCTCTTTTTATAGATTGGTGATAACAACATTATTGACAAGAAAGGAAATTAAGACCCTATTCAGAATTCCACCGGGTCCGCGAAATCTCAGGAGCTGTGGAGCTAGGAAATAGGTGCTCCACGATTTTCAACTGTAACTCCACCAGCTCTGGGAGTGGAGTTGTGGAGTGGAGGTACTCCGAACAAAGCCTAAACCCCGAGGGGCATCATCTAACCATACACTAGGATTCTCAAATCTAGCAAGATGAGCTAGTTCATGAGCTACATCATTATCCTCTCTGGGATAGCATTGAAAGATTGATACGTCTTCGTCGTATCTATAATTTTTTTATTGTTTCATGACATTATTCTACAATTTTCATATACTTTTGGCAACATTTTGTATTATTTTTGGGACTAACATATTGATCAAGTGCCTAGTGCCAGTTCCTGTATGTTGCATGTTTTTTGTTTCACGGAATATCCATACCAAACGAAGTCCAAACACGATAAAAATTTACGGAGATTTATTTTGAAATATATGTGATTTATGGAAAAAATAATCAATGTGAGACGATGCCCGAGGGGGCCACTAAAGGAAATATGCCCTAGAGGCAATAATAAAGTTGTTATTTATATTTCCTTATATCATGATAAATGTTTATAATTCATGCTAGAATTGTATTAACCGGAAACTTAATACATGTGTGAATACATAGACAAACTGAGTGTCACTAGTATGCCTCTACTTGACTAGCTCGTTAATCAAAGATGGTTAAGTTTCCTAGCCATGGACAAAGAGTTGTCATTTGATTAACGGGATCACATCATTAGGGAATGATGTGATTGAATTGACCCATCTGTTAGCTTAGCACGATGATCGTTTAGTTTGTTGCTATTGCTTTCTTCAGAACTTATACATGTTCCTATGACTATGAAATTATGCAACTCCCGAATACCGGAGGAACACTTAGTGTGCTATCAAACGTCACAACGTAACTGGGTGACTATAAAGATGCTCTACAGGTGTCTCCGATGGTGTTTTGAGTTGGCATAGATCGAGATTAAGATTTGTCACTCCATGTATCGGAGAGGTATCTCTGGGCCCTCTCGGTAATGCACATCACTATAAGCCTTGCAAGCAATGTGACTAATGAGTTAGTTACGTGATGTTGCATTACAGAACGAGTAAAGAGACTTGCCGATAACGAGATTGAACTAGGTATTGAGATACCAATGATTGAATCTCGGGCAAGTAACATACCGATGACAAAGGGAACAACGTATATTGTTATGCGGTTTGACCAATAAAGATCTCCATAGAATATGTAGGAGCCAATATGAGCATCCAGGTTCCGCTATTGGTTATTAACCGGAGATGTGTCTCGGTCATGTCTACATAGTTCTCGAACCCATAGGGTCCGCACGCTTAACGTTCGATGACGATCTGTATTATGAGTTTATGTGTTTTGATGCACCGAAGGTTGTTTGGAGTCCCGGATGAGATCACAGACATGACGAGGAGTCTCGAAATGGTCGAAACATAAAGATTGATATATTGGAAGGTTATATTCAGACACCGGTAAGGTTTCGGGGGTCATCGGATAAATACCGGAGTACCGGGGAGTTACTGGAACCCCCCCGGGGGGGTCAATGGGCCTTCATGGGCCTTAGTGGAAATAGAGTGCAACAAGGGAGCTGTGGGGCGCGCCCCCCTAGGCCCAAACCGAATTGGTTTAGGGCTTGGGGGGCCGGCCCCCTCTTTCCTTCTCCCCTCCTCCTCATTCCTTCCCCTCCTAGTTGGACTAGGAAAGGGGAACCTACTCCTAGTAGGAGTAGGATTCCCCCTTGGGGCGCACCCTGTCGTGGAAGTGTCACGACAGATGTCCTTGTAGAAGGACTTAGTTGTGGAGCCATTGCGACGAGGTTAGCTTAAAGGGGTTAAAACGGGACAAATGACACAGGGAGTTTATACTGGTTCGGCCCCTTGCGGTGAAGGTAAAGGCCTACTCCAGTTTGAGGTTGTATTGCTAGAGTTTCGATTACCAGGGAGCAAACACGCTTTGCCTGGCTTTTGACTTGTTGTTTCTTGCCGTAAGCCGCCGCTGGGTCGTCCCCTTATATACACGGGTTGACGCCCTGCGGCCTACAGAGTCCTGGCCAGCTCATACAAACGTGTCCGGCTTAGTGACTTATCTTACATGCCTTACAACCCAAGTTTACATATACATGGCGGTTTATACTTACGGGCCTTAAGCCGCCTCCGGATTTGGGCCTTTTAACAAGCCTATCTATGAACCGCCATCTTTAGCATACTCTTGGGCTTCATTTAGATGAACCGCCATAAGGGATGACCCGACCCCTCTTGGGCGGGTCATATCCGATAGTCATATCCCCAACATTAGGCCCCAGGTTGATTTGAACTCGTTCATGTCAATCTTCAACACTTAGAAAAAATCCTTCTTCATCTTATTGTGAAACATTGTAACCTGCCATGACGTCATTTCCGAAAATTGCGATAACCCATCGTGACATCACCTGCAATTAATACACGGCCCAAATCTTAATTAAATATTTTTCTTTACCGATCCTTTGAAAATTGAGGCGCCCACGTCGTCACATATCTGTTTTCTTGTCTCCTCGATTCTCGTGCATGCCATTTATCCTTCCGGCCTTATAAATAGAGCCACGAGCTCACTTCTCATTCTCTCCCTTTGCCTTTTCTCCTTCTTCTTCCTCCTCACGACGTCCCAGTGCACCCGAGCTCCGCCGCCGTCAACCTTCATCTCCTTCATCGACTCCGGCCGTTGCATCACCCTGAACGGGTCAGAGCACCGCGGCGCCTCTCCGCTGTCTCGTCAGCAACAGTAAGTCTTCCCCTTCCTCGCCATAGATATGTCATTAGGGTTTCAGTGTTCATCACCGCCCTTCTTTTTTCTTGCTTAGATTCATGGCTTAGATCCGAAAAACCACATAAACCTTACGCGGTAACAATTTTTAGCACTTATTTTTGATATCGGACCATATCTTTCTTACAATAGATCTCATCTGAACGCCCCTGCTCTTCTGCTGCCGCCACTTTAGGTTTAGATTTTATTCCATTTTTCTGAATAGCCGCAGATCCAATCTTATATCCTTAATCTGTGAAACCTGTTTGTCTTGATACTTAGTAAAATTTTGCTCTTGTCAGATCCTGAAATACCAGTACGTGTCATGGCGGCTTACATGTCTGACTTATAATTACTCACATATCATTAGTCCTCACTTAAGCCGCCATTCTTGATATATATGCTGTAACTGTTCACCTGTGACTTCACCAATCTGATTTGAACCGGCCAAAATTTCCCTTTCTTTAGGTTTTCTCTCTTCACAATGCCGCCAAAGACATTCTATGCATGCAACTAGGTTCCCTCCATTGTCACTGAAGGCACGCTTAAAGACTTTATCAAAATCGGATATTTGCCAGAAAAGAATGCCATGTACTATCGTGCCCCT